GCGATCCATCTTTCTTTCCTCTCGTGTGTGATTGACCAGCCGGTCCTTGGATTGGCCAGTGGTCGTGATTAGATCTGATCAGGCTCGCTCGGCTGTTAAGGCTGAATTTTTGCTATTTGCCGAGACAGCAGACTGTTTTTGGTAATCGGGCCTCGTTGGGGAGACGATCGAAAATCAGTTTTGTCAGGCACGCTCCGCTCAAATCCTTGACTCTATCTCGCCCTTTGCGGGCTGTCTGTATCGTCTCCCCAGCGTCCGCGCTCTTGTCGCGCCACTACGGCAGTAAACATATCGGCTCTTAAAACTCCCTCTTCCATCTCTGAAGCTCAAGTTCGATCTCTCGGAGCCTTTGCTTCGTCCTGAAAATCTGCTTACATCGCCTCTTTTTCTCAGCTGGAATGACAAATGCCATATATCCAATATTTTCAAACTTCTTTCGGTTTTCTATCAGATACTGAAACAGGGCGGCATTCGGAATACCGAATTTCCAATCCAAGAGAGTCACGAAGTTCTGGATATCCTTCTCTGAGATATGTAGTTCACAGTGATGCCCGGCATACGCGAAAAACCCAAGACTGTCAGCCAACGCAATCTGATCTGAATTAAGCGTTGCACTGTGTGCTGCCTGCGAATTTAAAACTGCAGCGGCCGTCACTGAGAGAGCGACAAGCCTGCAGGCACTCTTGCTAAAAAGCCTCAAGATCGTGCCCAGACCGGCATACAGCTCATCCGCGCAATATCGCCAAATCAAAACTAACTATCGTCGCTTGCTCACGGCTCTTGTTCGATTGCTGCTCTTTCTGATTGCTCTCGGCAAGCAAAGCGCGCTTTCGGGATTCTTGAGCATAGTTGAAATTGTTCGGCAGCAGTTTGACGCCTCGATTATCAGCCTTGGCCGGCGGGTGAAAGCTGCAAATGACTGCGATCATCACCGCAAGAACAGGGTTATACACAAGACGGAAGTCGGGTCGAATGTTCACCATTCCTACTAAATCTGTTTCGTGTGTTCGAAAGAACTACCAGCACGTCGCGTTCATCAGAAGACACCTGAGTTCAGTTGGTCCAAAGTGCGTTCACTGGTGTAGGGGCATTAACTGTCCTGCCATCATGAACTCCGCCGGTTGTTGAGCGCTGGTGCAGTGATATTACCTATTCCCGTATCGGGTCGCTTCGATTCCTCCTAACCGACCCTTTCATCATGTTCCCTTTAGGTAAGCTTTGAGAGCATTGCCGCACTTTTGACGAGCCTACCACCAGTGCGACGATAGTTTCAATACCAATATTGGTGAAGTTTCCCAACGCTTGGCCATGGTTCGCTAATCTCGGCCAAGCCTTGGTTTGCGAACACAGCTTGGCCAACTACTTCAAACGGGTGAGTTTCAATCCATACTGCTGCGTTACCGCACAATGGTGGCTCATCACACCGGGGACGGCGAAAACTCTTGGGAACCGGCTTTATTGTCGGATTTTTCAATACTGATCACGCTTGCAGAAAAGGCTGGGTTAGTGATTCTCCTGCAACCCGTTACCAATGAATCTTGGAGGAATTCGCCAACACGAAGTTCATAGTCCTGAGACATTTGCGCATAAGTGCCAACATGCCGTTCGGTTTCCCTGACCCAAAGTTCACCGTTGCCAGCCTCAGCGAGCTCGTGGGAGTGGTTAACGGGGATGAAGCGGTCTCCGTTCGAATGAATGACTAAGAGTTTTCGATTGACCAATTGACGGGCCTGCTCCAGAGGCTTAAACCGATCTATCCTGACGCCAATCAAAAACCTGGCAATTAGGACCGTTCCTAGTAAGAACGGCCGCCCCAAGCGGAGGGGCAGAACTCTCGGGAAGTTGTGTGCCAAAACCGCCCCAAAGTCAGCGAATGAACTATCGCTCACGACAGCCGCAATACCGGACTCCTCCGCTGCAGCGGCGACCGCCGCAGCACCGCCCATTGATGCCCCCATCACACCTATTGTTCCGGCGACGTAGCCCTTTTCGGTGAGCCAGTCATAGCCTCCCAAAACGTCCAAACGTTCGTTATAACCGTAACTGAGTCGCGCAGTGTCGCTTTGGCCATGCCCGCGAAGGTCTACTGCCAGCACTGACAGGCCCATTTCGGTGAGTGTCGCCACCATCGGTAACGCGTCCGCTTCAAGCTCATGACCTTTATGGCCGCCCTTGCCATGCACCATTATCACTGCGCCGGCAGGATTTTCTGCGCCTACGTACCAGGCACTTAAGCGCAGGCCGTCCCTACTCCATAGCGCGACCTCTTGATGGGCGGGCACCCGTCCTGTAACTGGAATGTCCTCGAGCCGCTTTGGCGGCATCGTGAACTGATGTGCCAGAGCGGTAGCCACGACCAAGTAAAATGCCAGGCCTAGTGCAGCCACGCCAACAAAGACTGGTACCGTCAATTCCATTTCTTGCTCCCTGATTTGCCTGTTGTGTTTGTTCTCAGGAGACGTTGAAATCGGTAAGCTGTCAGGGCCAATCGAAACAAATAAGATCAACAGATTGCCCATGCCACTCAACCCAAGGGGAGCGTTCTGACGATGGCGTTGTGCTCGCAAAGCGACTAAGTTTGACTTTCAGAACGGCTGCGCTGTAGAACTGACCCGAAGCGCTTATTGAGGTGCTGGCGCGAGTGACTCAAATTAGCTTGACTAATTTGCCTGCGAATCAAGGCGCTGAATAGCGCTCAGATCAACCTTGCGCGGACGGCGTGGCAGAACTTTTATGCCAGCCTGACAAGTCGTGAGCTGAGACGTCTAGTAATAACAATCTATGGGGAGTTAACTATGAAGATCACCGTTCTGCGTAGGCTTGGCACTGTCTTTGCCATCGGCCTGGCCAGCGTCCTGGCCGCGTGCAGCTCAACAAATTCCGACAAGCCACTACTTGATCCTGCAAACGCGAAGGCGGTTTTCGGGGATAAGGCAGGCGCACTGGTTGTCACACCAAAGAACGAAGTTGACTTATCCCAGGACGGCTCAGCTGTCTATCTGGAAGCTGAACTCAGCGGAAACGGTTACCGTGTAAGCAATGACCGCGAAGAGGATGACCTGCAAGCCAGCTTTCACACCATACCCGGGACGGATGGCAAATACCTGATTCAGCTTCTACCGGACGCAAACGACAAAACCCTTTATGCCATTGGACAAAAATTCGACCGTCGTTTAGCAATCGACGGATTTTTGATTGACGATGCCACCTGGGCAGCAGCAACAGCAAACGGTCTAGCAGTTGAAAAGACTAGCGATGGGGTATCAGTCAAAGATGAACAGTCCTTGCTGGAACTGGCGCGACTTTATACCCAAATCAACGCCGTCAGGTTGCGCGCACCCGCTGGGTTCAATGGCGGCTTGATGATAGTTGCCCAAGACAAAGAGCAGCAGCGAACCCTCACGTCGATGGCCGCGTTCACCTCGTGCCTGGCTATGGCCGGACACGCACACGACCTTTCTGTCAAAAAGCTTCCGGCACCGCATAGTCAGGGCGTAGCCATGGGCAAGATCGATGTAGAAAAGGCTCGTCCAGATTGCCAAAAGGCCATTGAGCTCACGGGACATGCGTCGGTACGTTATGCCATGCTTAGGATTGATGTTCGGGAAAAGAACTATGCGGCGACAGAAAAGGCTTTGGATCGCCTGCTCCAGGACCAGTACCCCTTAGCGTATGTCATGAAAGCTGACATGCTTGCTAGAGGTGTTGGAATTGAGAAGAATCCCGCAAAAGCTTTAGCCGTCCTGAGACAGGGGGCAGCGACCGGTTCTCCGATCGCGCGCTACTACCTCGGTTTCTTTCATACGCTAGGCACCCTGGGCAAGCCCGACTATGAGTTTGCCCGCCAGCAGTTCGAATCGCTACTGAAGGATCATGATTACGCCCCCGCCCGGTCCGCGTTAGCGCAGATCTACGAGTATGGGCAAGGGGTCAAAAAAGATCCAACAAAAGCGCTCAGCCTCTACAGACAGGCCGCCAAGACCGATGACCCGGCAGCGCACCTTGGACTGGGTAGGATGCTCTATTTCGGAACAGGAACAGATCGGAACCTAAAGGCGGCCTATGCCGGACTAAAGAAAGCAGCGGACTTTGGATACGGACAAGCCCAGTACCTGGCTGGCTTTATGATCGCCCGAGGTCAAGGAGTGAGCAAAGACGAAAAAGTTGCCAGACAACTTCTCGAAGCTGGCGTCGAACAGGGTAACAATGATGCCCGCGCCGAGTTGGGACGACTGCTGTACAACGGCCTTGGTGGAGCCAAAGATCAGAAGCGCGGCATGGCATTGCTCAAAACCGCGAAGAAAAACGGCAGCAAAAGTGCCGTTGCCTATCTCACCGCAATTGAACGACCCGCCACGCAGTATTCAAAGGTGCCAGGCGAGTACCAACAGGACCTTGACCGCGTCTTGTCATCAAATGGCTCGATTGCAGTGACCGTCGAGAATCAGGCATTCCTCGGGGGCCTGGGCTCGGGCATGCTAAAGCAGTGTGGCGTTCCGCAAAATGGCGCGCTACGCGCTGAAATGCAGAAATTCGTCCTGACCATCGTCAACGGATCCATAATGGGGTCGAACTACTCAGACAGAAACCTCGGAAAGGTGTGGGGCAGTGCGGCCAGACAGCAGGCCAATCTTGCCAGTGGCATCCATGTTGGCCGCCAGATCCCGTGTAAAACCGCCGCTGCGGTCTCTGTCAGGCTCATCAAAGCACTTAAGGCATCCACCAGAGGCGCTGATGGTGGTTTATCTCCCTTCGTCCACTCCTGCAGTCCGAAATTCGATCAACGCCGTTGTCAATGCTTGGCCGATAACGGGCGGGCAGTCATGCCCGACATTCACCAGCAATTTTATCGCCGGGATCTAATCAAATCCATCATTAATCGCAATCCCCTCATTGGTCTTCAGATCGCCATGGCCTGCCAGATTAGCAACTACTGACTCAGATTTGAGTAGTCTGTCTAGATGGATTCGGGTTTCACTTCCCAGGCCGGATCAGAATGCAATGGCGACAACCGAACGGGACTAGGCGCGGCAAGGACTCAAAGAAAGGCCACCGCCCTTGTCTCTCATATGGCATTCGTGCGGTGTGTGAGATGACCGACATCAGGCATTCGCTGCCTCGCTCAGGCCAGTAGAAGCAAGCAACTTAGATGCAGGCAGGCGACTGATCCTACCGGCGCCGGTGGTCGCAACGCAGAAGAACGGGCACACATACTGTCGCCTCCACTATCGGCTAGGGTCCCAGGACGCTCGATCCGACATCGAGTGCGGCTACGGGAAATCCTCACCCGTCCAATATGGTCAGATAAACAGTATCCCCAACTGCGTTTGCGTACCAGCCCGAACGGCTGGCCATTACCCTGACAAGAGCCACCGGGTCCCGTCTATAGATAGAGCAACAGACAACCAATCAACCTACAAATCAATATCCGGGAATCAACATGGTGAAGATACCGTCGTCATACCTGCGCGCTGCCCTGCTGCTCGTGATCGCGACCACTTTGCTCAGCGGATGCGGTCAACAGATCAGCAGTTCATCGAGCAGCGCCCCAGGATTTTTTCTTGGCGTCTTTCATGGCTTCTTTGCATTGTTCGCTTTCATTGCCGGGTTGTTCTCTGACATACGAATGTACTCATCGCCCAATACCGGTTCTTGGTATGACTTCGGTTACCTGATTGGCCTTGCTCTTTTTGGTGGGATCAGCAGTAATGACTGACGCGCGAAGCGGAGTGAACAAAGGCATCAACGAACAAGCACCCAGAAAAGCAAAAGTTTTGGCCTGACAAGCGCATCAGTTGACCGTCTTTCCAGTACTAGATCTGTAAAGCGCTGGGCTTCAGGCTCACCTCCAATTAAATGTCTTGGATCTCACATCCTCTTATCAATTCTTGCGAGCAAATATGCTATGAACAAAAGAATCGTCCGATTGCTTCTTGCATTCTCTGTCACTCTGGTTATCAGCGGCTGTGAAAAAGCTGCTGTTGCGTTTCTTGATGCAAGTGCAGATGTAGTCGTTGAAGACGTTGACAGCGTTGACGCTGGGAAATGGAAATACTATTCGGTTACGGTTAACAGTGGAAACGGCACTGCAGCGATCAGGATTTCCGGCAGCCATCTCTCTGGGCCTGCGATTGATTTTGTGTTTATGGCGAAAGACGACTTTGACAAAAGCCTGGGTGCGCTAAAGAAGCAGACTGGCGAGGATTATCGCTACTACGTTAACTTAACCAGAGCGAATTTGACCGGAGATTTTGATACTACTTGGGTTAAAGTTGAGAACGGCACTTACATGCTTATAGTCGATAACAGCAAAAACTTTGAAACCAGCCTTATCGACTACTTCACCAAATTTCTGGATACGACTGCTAACTATTCTGTAAAAATCGTGGCGACTGACGTAGTCAAGTGAATCAGTCCGATGGACCAACCGGCACAGATCTACCCTATCAAAGCACTTGAAGCCACTTTGGTCGCAAACAATCTAAAGCATTTCTCAACAAGGTCTAGGGAGTGCGCCTACCATGCATTTGTTTCACAATGCTATCTCGCCTGAATGCGATGGCATACAACAAATGAACATCGATCAACCACCCGCTAGTCAGGATGCAATATGAGACTCTCTAAACAACTTAATCTGCTGCCCTGGATGTTTGTAGCGTTCACATCCGCCGCAAGAGCCGATGGCCCCGGCTATGAAGTTTGCAACGATACGAAGCGCCCACTCGCTGTGGCATACCTCGTGCAAAGTGGATTCGAGGTGTTCGGATCGACCTGGCGTTGGCAGGGCTACTGGGTAACCGAACCAGGGGTCTGCGAGCGTCACCTGGATACGCACGATGCGGTTAACGCCTTGGTATTGTTCAGAGAAGTAGACCAAAACAAAAATCAACTTGGAAAAGACGTCGCGTTCGGGCCGGAGTCGTTCAGTACTGGGAGAGGTGCCTGGGCTAGTTCGAAAGCGGAGCCGGGTGGCAAATATTGCGCGTATGGATCTGGCGAAGCGATATCGAAAGACATTGCCGAGCACGAATCATGCAGGAAAACTGGTAAAGCCCGAAATTACTCCGTCTACTGGACCGGCCTTGGACAAACCCATGAGCAGGTGAACGAATCAGGACCTCATCGGCTGCGAGTTAAATAAGGGACCTACCTGGGTATCTATCCGTTAATCGGACTATCACGGTAGTTCCGATGCACGCGGAACCCGGGCAAGATCGCATACCGTCGAGGTAAACGGCGTTATCACATTAATTCACCAGTTTCCCTTGGGAATGACATTTCTACGAATAATCTACTCCTACTCAACTGACGCCTGAGTAGACTGTCCCGAAAGACTGTGCATCTTTGGTTCAAAAGTCCGTAGAAGCGTATAAAGAATGCTCGATTGACCTTGATATAAACCCGAGATTCGCCATTCATAAGCGGAGTCTTCAATCTGACTTTGACAGGCCGACAGATACTGGTCACAAATCTTCAACGCAGCTTTCTGAATGTCCTCACTAGGCAGCACAGATCCATGTTCGTGCTTAGTATCAACCAGCGCATCCAGTACGCCGCTGGCGCCACAACAGAATCTGGATCCCTGCGCAAACAGGATCTCGTCGCTCAGCAGGGCCTGCGATAGGCGTGACCGAATGTCTTTGACTGGCGCTTCATAGGTCTCTGGAAATACTGATAGTCCACGCATCAGCCCTGCCAGTCCATTGCACCAGCTGAGGTTCATTGGCTTCCACTGTTCCCCCCGACTGTCCATCCAATTGCCATGTCGTGAATGATGCTGTCCAGGGACGTGACGGAGACGTTCGAGACACCGTTTCGCCGAGAGCCGTAGCGCCTCATCGCCGCCTAGCATCACACTGTCATTAAGAGCGTACACGATACCCGCCCAACCATGCGCTGCCCCCAGATGCAAGCAGCTTGCTGCGCTGATTGTTTGATCGAGCACGATCGTCTCAGAATCAAGCATCTTTGCAATTGCCTGCACAGCACCAGCCTTGGCGACCTGAGTATGGCTCAACCAATAATCTGACAGCTGGCCGACACGGTTTGCAGCGATGAGATATCCAGCTGCGCCGCTAATCAAATCGAACTCGGTCGCCTCGGTAACCGACTCGTTACCGCAGTCAAACACCTCTGTCACGTAAGGTCGCAGAAATTCCCAGCGTGACGCGTTGGCAGAGATCAATGAGGCAGCCGCTATCAAATTGCCCCCGATACCCTCAAGCCCAATAGGTCCCACACTTCCCGGGCGATTCTGATTCTGTTGCCCAAGATGATGCGCCACACTCTTTGCCTCTCTATGAAGAAACTGATCCACTTCAGGCAATGCTGCTTCCGTAAGCAGTTTTAGTGCGGATTCCAGCGCAACGTAGATACCAAAAGAGCCATTGAACGCCGCCATGTTTCCGAAAGCCGCAAAGTCACCCTGACCATTCGTTCCGTCACTGGTTGTCAGCCACCTGGACACACCATTGGCTGACGTGTGCGCGGACTGAATGATCAAACGGGCAAGCGCTCTGATTTGCATAATCATGTTGTCAGTCATAAGGGGGCTGTCTGCAGGTAAAGATGCGTGCAACCCTCTGTATCCGGCATGTGGATGGCCACATGCAATACCGATCAGCTCAGCCTGCTCATCAATATCTGCCGATTCGATACCGGCCAGCTTGGTCTTCGCATAATCAACGCCGCTGATCGCGAATAATCCGATCGGTCTTCCATGAGTGGATTGCACGGATGTGGCATCACCCCGATATCTGAAAATTGGTATATCACCCAGGTTTAGCTGTCTGAGTTCGTCATGCACGAGGGACTCTGTCACGCTCTTTCCATTGAAAGAGCGGATATCAAAGTCCCGAGCCTGATTCAGCATCAATTCGACTTCTACCTGTCTGGCCTGTTCAGACCGCAGCAGTCTTGGAAGCGAGAATTTTTCCTGCAATCGGTAGTACTCGGCAGTATCTCGGGGCACAAACCGGAACTGATCGTGCGATTTGATCCGCTCAATAAATGCTGCCAGTCGCTGGCGGTCAAAGCTGCGCGCAAAGCTTGAAAACGCCAAAATGATTTGATCGCAGTCTGCCCGCGGAAGCGGCTCATATGATAAGCCGGCTGCCACACGCAAGTCAGAATTTTTCAGGACCTGCACATCGTCATCACGCAGCACAAAACGCGCGCTCACGGTATTTCTTGCTCGGGTTGTGAAAGTATTGATAGCCGATGAAACGAAGTGCGCGCTGGATCTCGAGATGTCACTGCTGACGAACATCGTGGCGTTCACGTCATGGCCGCGCCAAAGCACCTCAGATTCCGTAGCCAGTGCAATCGGCGCGCTAAGCAGCGTCTCCAGATCGACCAATGCGACGTTATGACGGCCGAAGATGATATTGTCTCGATGCATATCGATTGCATTTAGCATCCACAATACATTTAGCAGGCGGCCCGAAGCTTCGGTCGGTACCTGCCCAGGTTCTGGCTTGTCTAAGAATTCGCTCCAACCATAGCGTCCGCGATCAAGCGAGTCGGAGCATCGAATTGCCTCGAGCCCTTCGTTACAGCAACAGAACTCGAACCACTCGCGCTCGAGAAACAGACTACGCGGTTTGTAAATCAGCCGTAGGCCAGATCCAAAACCCACTGAGACAACCGTGCGGCACCCATCGTGCGGATCTGAAAGTCCCGGCGTTATTGATTCAATAGCAGCATTTGCTGGAACGGAAAAATGCCGGGCCAGGACCGGCATATCATGGCCAAGTCGGTTAGCGAACTCAACAAACGCTTCAGTGACTGACTCGTCGATACGCCGCAGCCGTTCCGCGAGCACTGGGTACTCATCAAATAGCCGGCTCCACGCCGGAGAATCAGCAACTTCCCCAGCGTACTGCGTGACCCAGCGGGAAAACGGAATGCCCTGCTTTTTGAAATCGGCGTGCAGAACAAACGACGTGTGCAGGCTCAGTGTCTGCTTGTAGTGATCTTCAATTGGCCCCTTTTCCAGTCGAGCGAACTGACGCTTCAGATCACCACTGAGCTTGGAGAAACAGCGTTCGACATATCGGGTCGCAAACCCTGTCAGGCATTGCTCGTAGGGATTACCTTCCAAAACCACGACCGGCAAATCACAATGCGGAACACAAACAACCCACCCGATTGGCCCAGGGCGCGCTCAGCACGTAAAGCCACTGCAGCGCGTGTTAGAGGAAGGGCTGCACATATAGCAGGCACCGTCCGTTGCTCCCGTGCGCATCGACAAAATACCGCTTGCCGCATTAAGCCGTTGTATGGGATGACGGTAATCCTCATTCATTTCGAGCGAATTCTCAAGTTCCCTTTCAACGATCTCATCAACGCTCACATCCATTCGAATACTCCTTTAATTAAAGTCTCTCTGCTGCGCGGGGCGGATTCTGGTTAATCTGGGTAGCGCCAACGTAGTCGGTGAAGTTGACCCTAGCGGACAAGCCTGATGGTCAAAGAATACCAAAACCCGGCGCCTCCTTCGACCCTGATTTCCTACCAATTTTGGTGAATTCTCGGTCGCTAGCGGATTAGAGAAGAATTGATGTGTTTTGCTCGGCCCGATTCGTTCCATGATTTCAGGATCAGGCTGCAACACCGTGCCGGCATACCTCTGTGCTCATCGGGTTGGCATGATTTCCGCAGGCTTTGAGATTAGGGCCCACCTGCCCTTTAGGTCCTGAGCAGTTGATCGCAAAAACAGTGGTGGCCTCTCCTGAGATCTTCAAATTTTGGGGCAAAACTTGAGCTCAAAATTTGGGATTGTTAGCTCACAGTCCCAGGATTAGGAGCGATCGAATCTGTGGAAGAGATGCCGGCATGAATGAGTGCTTCGGTTAAAACCCCGGGTGTCGCCATAGAGCCGGTACTCGATCCCCTGAAAACCCAATCATCATCCCCTAAGCCCTGATGGATCCGGTACGCCTTTCACCGTATTAATCTAAGCACTCGAAATCGCACAACTTACCCTGACAAAACAGCCTGTTCTCAGTCAAGTACAGGAGTGGGCAAGTCTCCCCACGGGATTCCACAACTTACCCATCCTTCGGTTCAAACCATACTTACCCCAAACTGGGTAAGAGCTGAAAGGAAAAACGAGCCAACCGGCGGGTATCAGCACCCGTCATGAGAGGATAGTAATGCAGTTGACAAACTTAGATCAGCCACAGGAACAATCGGCCTGTCAAAAGACTGTTGAGCCTGTGCCCAAATGGATCCAAGGGCTTGCCCATGAAGCAGGTGTGACCTTCGGCGGTAGCGATCCCTGGGACGTCCGAGTGTCAGACCCACGGCTGTACCAACGCATCGCCCGGCAAGGCACACTTGGCTTTGGGGAAGGGTTTGTCGATGGTCAGTGGGAATGCGATGCACCCGATGAACTCATTTGCCGCCTGCTTAGGGCTGGCACCGACTCAAGAATGAGTGTTCTCTTCCGCGCCTACCTGACCGCCCGAAAAGTCAGAGACAGACTGCTGAATCGCCAAGCAAAATCTCGGGCTTTCCAAGTGGGGGAGCAACACTATGATGCGGGTAACGACATCTTTGCTGCGATGTTGGACGATACGATGACCTACTCCTGCGGCTACTGGCGCACAGCGTCAGACCTGCAGCAGGCTCAGCTCGACAAGTTCGACCTGATCTGCCGAAAACTTCAGCTCAGGCCTGGCGAGAAACTTCTCGACATTGGCTGTGGCTGGGGCGGTTTAGCCCACTACGCAGCAGTCAATTATGGCGTCAGCGTCGTTGGGATCACAGTCTCTGAGCGCCAACACCTTATTGCCCAACAACGTTGCGAAGGCTTAGATGTTGAGATCAAGCTCCAAGACTATCGAGAGCTAGTCGATACGTTCGACAAAGTCGTATCTGTCGGCATGTTTGAACACGTGGGACCAAAGAACTATGCGAACTACTTCGACATGGTCAGCAGACTCCTCACCTCGGACGGTTTGTTCTTGCTGCACTCAATTGGCATCGACAGGTACACCGACAGTGTCGATCCCTGGATTGAAAAATGGATCTTCCCTAATGGCCGACTTCCTTCAGCGATCGAACTGACTCAATCACTCGACCGCCGATTTCTGATCGAAGACTGGCACAACTTTGGCCAGGACTATGACAAAACACTGATGGCCTGGTGGCACAACTTTAATCGAGCCTGGCCAGATCTTGCACCGTCCTATAACGAGCGCTTTTATCGGATGTGGAAACTCTACTTGCTGGGCTGCGCTGGCTTTTTCCGCTCGCGACAAGGGCAACTTTGGCAACTTGTCCTAAGCAAGCCGACTCGATCAGCGCAGTATCTTTCTGTCCGTTAAGGCAGTTGATCTGTTTTGCTTTAAATCCAGTGGTTTTTAACTCTGAACCGAATATCCAGCACTTAACTATGCAGTTCTTTCCAACAAGGCGAAAGATGAATCAACAAAATTATCCGCTGCAAACCAGCATTTTTTCTAGCATAAAGATGATCCACAGCAGGGTGCTCACGACAGGATTTGCCTGCGCCATCCTAATTGGCTGTAGCGGGACGCCGCATGACCCCGACGCCGCCAATCAGCTTCGTGCCGCCCAGGCCAACCAGCTTGACGCTATCCGCAGCAAGTGCGCAGATCTCAAGCGTCAATGGAAAGCCAACCATCAAGAAATTCGACGGTATGCCGCTGCCTATCAGGGCGTCGATCAGCCGCAACATTTGATGCGCCGGATCGATGCCTACAATGAGAACGAGCGAAAAGCCCGTAAGCCTCAGAAGCGACA